GTTTTTGGATTTTCCGAAAAAGATTTGATGCACAAAAGAGGAGATGGAAACACGTTTGCTGAATAAGCTCTCTGACCTAGCGAACATTTAAACCTCACGACTGATCATCGCCAATACTAAAGCTGAACAACTTTCCCGATAGCAACGCATTCCTGAAAACTTCTGCAAGTTTACAACCTCTACTTCCTGTTTATTACAGCCACGCGTAACGTCTTAAGTATTTACGCTAACGCAAAAAGAAAAAAATCAGTAGGTCCTCTGGATGGTTCTTCTTTAGTGAAATGTTTCGTCTCTCCTCCAAGAGACTTCTTCAGTCTGATGAGTTTCAGGTGAACTCAGCCTTATAAGCTCCGCCTCCACATGGACAAACAGGTTAGTCACATGCAAAAGAGGACCATCGCCTAACAATAGGTGGTGTGAATCAGGGCCCCAATGGTACCAAACACAAATAGGGAAAGAGAGACAAAAACAAGGGGACGTCGAGCCCCGCTTGCATTCACTACACATAACATGACACGGGTCAGGTGATGGGGCACATGACCCTCTACGAACAATAGAACCAATCAAGCCTATTGTTAGGCGATGGTCCTCTTTTGCATGTGACTAACCTGTTTGTCCATGTGGAGGCGGAGCTTATAAGGCTGAGTTCACCTGAAACTCATCAGACTGAAGAAGTCTCTTGGAGGAGAGACGAAACGTTTCACTAAAGAAGAACCATACAGAGGACCTACTGATTTTGTCTTTTTGAGTTTTTCTACCTGGATTACTGAGATGCATCAGGAAATTGAAAATAATATAGTTTAAGGGTCGTGAAACCAATTAAAAATCAAACTGGAGTTCCTAAAACGGTCATAAATTGTAAATGTTCTACCTTCTACTTTAACAAAACTACTTGGAGGTCAAGTTTAAACCAGGACRTTAATTGATGGTGGGCTTTGTTCCTTGCTGCGAAGCAACAGATTAGCCAGGGTGGATTATGTTTTCAGAAAATAACCGGTGGTCTAAAACCCTGAAGGGGACTGAAGACATGTTCTTTTAGGTCGTAGAGATCATAAGCTGTGTCCAAATTCAGGGGTCGGGTCTTCCAAAGGCCAAATCCATCAGCTGCTTACGTCACAGAGCCGAAGGCTGTCCAAATTCAAAGACTCCTCTGATGTGGCCCAAAAATGTGTCCTCTCTTTGCCCCGATTTGAGGGACAGATAATTTTGGACACCTGTAGAAGKTGTAACGAGGTTCTTCATCCCGTTTGAGGAAGGTCTACTGGAACTGAAACATCTTCATGTAAACATAGTAAAAAGTAAACCGCCTAACCTTCACCTCCAGGAAAAGCTTGACTGAGCGTGAAACGAAGGAGTCCAGCCATCATAACCTGCCACCTCTGGAGTCAGACCATGGAGCAGGTCCAGACSTCCACCACCACCGTTTTTCACAGCCACCACCTCCAGCTGTGCTGGGAGGACTCCAAGGTGTCCTCAGAGCRTCTGAGAGACGTCTTAAGAAGCAGTGTACAGGAACCAATCCACAGAAACTTCATGGTGACCTGGATGGTTCARGTAATTATTGTGATGCTCTGAGTCCAGCTGGACACAGAGAATAACCTGACCTGAGATAAGAAGTCCATCACGTTGATCCTTGTTTACTTCACCCAGGAAGAAGTCTCCTCCATTTCTGCCYGCTCGTTTTCTAATTAAAACTAAAAACCTGCAGCTCAGATCAGATCTCCTCCAGGTTCAGAAGCTGCAGYCGGACAAACGTTTCAGTGGAGCGTTGCTAATCCCTCAGCTGCTGCATCCCAACCCCAATGCTTGGGGGCTTCATGGTGCCGGAGCTTCACTGTTGAGAAATGTGGATTTTACAGAACAGCCATGAATTCTGGATGAAGGTTTGAACCCCGAGGAGCTCTGTGCTGCAGAGCCACCGGTCGATCAAACCGCTGCTGTTTCCACGTGGAGAGCTTTGATCTCACTGATGAAGATGGATCAGATGTACATTATGTTACAGATTGTTGTATTCAAAGGATGARAATGAGCTTCAACAGATGCTCCTTTGTACAGTCATTACCTGAGAATGCATCCAAATCCTGACCTTCATCTCTGAGCTCATCATGAAGACGTTTAAGCTTCACGCAGCTAAAGCTTTGATAACAAKCAGTTAAAGTCTTGCTTCCTGGACCTGTCACAGCAGGGAGTGAGTCAGCCTCAGAGGATTTTTGCTCCACCGGACATCGAGCCCAGTTGGGCCAGCTAAGAGCCAGCGGACTCTGTGTCGGGTTAGCTTTAATGATCATTAGCGCAGCTTGATTTTAGCTGAGAGCCGAAGGCCTCCAGCAGCTCCCTGACAACTGGGATCTTCATTCAGATGGGGCTGAAGCTCCAGCAGAAACCCCTGCTGCTTTTATCGTTTAAAGACTTAAATAAATGGAGTTTATCTGTCAGAAACCTGTTTAAYCTAAACTATTTTCACAGTTTTACTCTGTTTCATCGTTTTGCTCTGATCGATCAAACATGGAAGATTTCACCTCATTGAATCGACTCGTTTAAACTCGAGGACTTCAGTGTTTTATAAAGCTGATAAAAATCTTTTTGATCCTTTTGAATTTGAACGTTTTTATTCCTGAAGCCTTTKCTGTTCACATCCTGCAGTCACGGAGGACAAATAAAATCAAAGAACAAGAGGCTGAAGTGATGCTGTGTCCTTAAGGAGTATTGACAGAAATACTTGGCTCTGATTGGTCGACATTAAGGCGTTCTGCTCGCCCCGTCTCCCTCCATTACAACGACCATCTCAGAACTCATCAGAACCAAAAGCCTTCGAGGAAAAATGAGCGAGCTAAAAGCTTTGTGTGCGTCGTCTCTGCAGCGTAAACACGGTGCTTGTGTGTGTGTGTGTGTGTGTGTGTGTGTGTGTGTGTGTGTG